TTTTCGAAGATGAGGCTGGAAACGCGGTAACGGTGAATGGATCACGCTAGCCTAGCATTGATGACATGGATATCACTGACATGTGGTTTCAACAAGACGGTGCCACATGTCACACAGCCAATGAGACGATCAATTTATTGCAAACCAAATTTGCTGATCGCGTAATTTCCCGAAATTCAGCTGTTAAATGGCCAGCCAGATCGTGTGATTTAACACCACTGGATTATTTTTTGTGGGGCTATCTTAAGGACAGAGTCTATACGGAGCCAATCGAATCGACTACAGCCTTAAAACTCAAAATCCGTGATGTGATAGCCGAAATAGACCCGACATTTTGCCAAAAAGTGATTAAAAATTTTGATGAAAGAATCGACTTCTGTCAGCGTGGTCGTGGTGGACATTTGCCAGATATCATTTTTCATTCATAATTGCCGAACTTTTCTCTTTGTAATACAATAAAAATTTGAATCATCTTCATCTAAATTTTTTGTTTTATTTTGTTTTAGAAAACAAAGTTCTTGTTGAAAGACCCTTTAGTTCAATTACAATATAATAACACAAAAAAGGTACAACTGAATACAATTGTGCCCTTTACTTCCACTCATGAGACAAATATTAAAAGTCACATTTAAATTAGTTATGCTCTTTACGTGCAGTAATATTTTTATATAGTTTTTCTACTAAATTAAAAGAGAAAATTGCTGATTAAAATACAATGAAACTTTCTGCATAAAACATTTGTGGTATGTATTTATAACGATTCAAACTACTTAATATCAAACGTACATTTTCATTATTCTTTTTATCAGAAAAGCCTAACAAATATTTAAACACATTTATCTCCGAATTTTGAATTCGCTATTTGTGCCTTTATTTCTTCCGAAGGTAGTAGCACTGCTGCTACATGTGACCGAAAAGGATATTTCCGTTATAAAATAAAACAGATTTCGTTGTAACGTGTAACACTAGGTATATATCATTTTTGTGCAAACACTCTCCTAGGACTTCCATTGAGTTTGTTTAGTTTCCTTTTTGCTCTTTTCATTTGCCCTTTTCTTTATATAGGATAGCTTTTAAGCTTTAAGGAAATTAAAGTAAAAATTCGGGGGTATATTTTTCTTGCGAATTTGAGTTTTAACAACTCTTAATGGGTTCTTTTTACGAGAGGATATAAATTCATAAATCAACGTTAAAGCGTGAAACACTGAAAGTGGGTGATGGTTGGGCGCGTACCGGGTCAGGACCCGACCTGCACCCTTCTCGCGCCCGCGCTGTATTACCGTCCATATAAATACACGGAATTACACACGCCTCGCTCCCGACCAGACACGCGCCCGACCCGCACCCGCTTTCAGTGTGTTTCACGCTTTAGTGTAAAATTCAGGTTATATAACACTAATAATGACCGTACTGAAAATTTCCGAAGGTACTGAAAATCTCATTTTAAAAGTTTGATGGGAATACAGAAATGTGCACAAACAAACTTCTATCTGACTACTTCCGTGGCCGAACGGTTAGGTCTCAGGTTCGATTCCCGGGCCGGGGGAAATATTTGTACACCCGCGACACAGGATTTCCCTAGTGCGAAGCTATGTTGAGTGTGTGCGTGTGTGCGAGTGTGTGTACCTGAAGTGCATATCCCTTCTTATCAACGTAGTTCCTGAATCTTATTGTCAATAAACTAAAGTCGATTTTCGTGTTCTACCAACTAGCAAGTGGACAGACGATTCCCCTGATGGAGGTTTACCACTGCCTGTAAATATTTGCAATTGTCAGCGTGATGAGGGTCTAAGGCGCAGTGAGACCTGAAATAAACGTTTTCACGTTATGTAACAACACGGAAAACCCGTTATTCAACATAAAAAAAAAACACAAATTCAACGTGTTTTTTTTAACTGGGAATGAAAACTGGAGACACCGGTAGTGATTTTTTTTTATTATACCAAGTCACGGGACGAAGAAGTCGTGGGCCTGTTCATAACAGGTGCTATGCCACTCAGAGCTTTAAAACGCAAAGATTGGAGGGGCACTGCCACTGCGCCCGTCACCCTGAGACGTAACTTGACAAGTCCCACGTGCCTGTAATTTCACCAGCACACCCTTCCAAACCGGAAAACCAGAAATAGTAAGGTATTTATTAGATATGCGACTGCGAACAGGTCTAGGGCATGCCCTAGTTAATAACAACATATTATTACCGTCATTATCATAATTACATTTCCTCGAGTTCGAAGAATAATAACATCAACATTAAGCCGTTTTCTAAGATAAATGGCAATGGCACAGATTATTTTAGATAATTGCAGTGTCATCCTTTGAAGCGACCTCGTTTCGAAAGGCAGGAATTAGTGTTAAAATGGAGGCATTAATAACAGCAATAATACGCGCAACAACCACTTCAATTACTTGGTTTCAAACTAGGAAATTCCCTACTAAACTATGAGTACCAGTAGAGTACATTGTGAAAGATTTCGTCCAGGGAAGTACTGCTACTAGTGGCGAGGCGTCCATATAACTCGATTCCCATCTCTCACTTACCTAAAATTTTCCACGTATTATCAAGTATTATAAATATTTTAAAGTAATTATTATTAATACAAAGATCGAACACTCAGAAAAAATTCCTTCGATCCGGCCGGATTCGAACCGAGTTCTTCTAGCATACCGTGCCAGACGCTATACCAACTAAGCCATGGAACGAACCAGCGGACCTCACGAATTTTTCTGTGTTTGTTGTCGTGTCTTTGCATTTGGTTTTTTCAACGACTTTTTAGCCGTAGCGCCATCTATGAGAAATCTTAAGTATTTCGTCACCCACTTAGATACCTTTACAGCTACCAGCCCTGGCTTGAGATGTCGCTATTCGTTGTATTTACGTTTGTTTTGAACTGATATTCAATTATTTTTTATGTGAAATTACTCCACTAGTTTGTTATAATTATTGATACAAAGATCGAACACTCAGAAAAAATTCCTTCGATCCGGCCGGATTCGAACCGACGTCTTCTAGCATACCGTGCCAGACGCCGTACCGACTAAGCCTTATTTTAAAGTAATTTACTCACTTTTACGTATAGAATAATTAACCAGTAAAGTAGAGTGTGCTAGTGTCTTGTGTGCTAATAAGTGCTGTGTTTGATTGTCGCCAAGGCGCCACTTGTTAAGGCAAGTGTTCTTTGTTTTAATAATAATAATAATACTTTATTTCGGACCAACAACAGTTATCCATAGTTTGTTAGTAAAGAACTTAGGAATAAGGTTAGTATGATGCTATTCAAATGCTAAAATTACAATAAAATAAGTAAATAATAATGTTAAAAAAATGAAAAACAAAAAAATATACAATTAAAATTCAAAAATAAACCACGAATTACAACATTAAATATAAAATTATAAAATTGAAATTAATTTAACACACTCGTGTAAACTTAAACTAAACCGCCACATGAGGTTTCATCCAGTGGGCCTGGATGGGGCAGTCAATTTTATCAACCACAATTTTTAGAATGCTGTTGCCAAAGCGAGGCAACCCGCTTCCTCAGAATGGCTTTGCTCTGGCTTCACTAAAGACAAATTTGACGCCTCGCCACTGACTGCCATCACACCTATTTCTGCCGCCAAGCAGAAATGTTGCCGTGTTCCGGGTATGAAGGATTATGGGTGCTGGTAAAAGTAAAGGACCATGGGACTTGTCAACTCCGGTGGGAAGCGACATGCCTATCCATAACAGTTATCTGATCTGAGGGGCAATGCTACTCCACCCGTCACCCAGAGAGATAAGTTGACAAGTGCCTATAATATCATCAGCACTCTTACCCTTCAATACCGGCACGCTATAACTAGATGGCGGGAAACATAGGTTGGCAGTACTTCCTTGAACGAGCTCTTTTACAAGGAGCTCTAGTGCTACTTATATAATATGATATTGAAATTGATTGGTATTCCATTGCCAATTAGATTTTATAACGAAGATTATTTAACTGTCATACTAATCATATAATTTCCTACGATAATTCCTACTGCTTGTAGCAGCGGCATCTCGTTTTAATATAGTATTGTGCATTTATGTCAAATTGAAGATCATGTCTACGTCAAAATATGGGTAATAAAATGAATGTATATAAAAATAAATTGGAAAAGAAATACGAAATTAACTTCGCAAAAAATGATGTGGGAATTCAGTTTAAATTAGCAGTTATAGTGAGTGTATGTTTAAACGTTTTGTGTTTTTGTATTTTAAGCTTTCTTTCACCACGCTTAAAATAATATATTTTAAGAAAAACCTATGAAATCAATGATCATGTAAAGATGATACGAACACATGGTACTTCCAGTTATTAAATTTTAGTTTAGTGATGACTTAAAGATCATTCTTTCTTAAAGATCATTCTGATGAATTTGACCTATGATTAGTAGTTTTAATCGATGTGAGGATTACAAATGCAATTTGATTATCTACGAATTAAATATATTTGATTGATGATTGATATATAATAAAAAACGTAACAATATTAATCCTAAGCAGAATCGTCACATGAGATACCGAGGTTTATCTAGTTATAAAATAAATTCACCCCCATAGTTCCACGTTTACTCGCGTCGTTTCTCTAACACGCCTTCCTGGCGGAAGTGGCCAGTAGCGTGCTGAGCCAATGTCCGTGCCCGTTTGGGCACCCTCCGGTTTGCTGCTTAATTTATTACACAGGTTAAAGTCTTCGCTATTTTATCCTGTGGCGAGGTCAAGGCTATCAGTGGCTAATTGTTAAATAACCTTCAGGAAATAATACATTTATAAAGTCTGAATTGCTCACACGTCTTATAAGTTTTAAACAGAACGACACCACTCTTACACGGCGACTGAGCGTTTTTAAGAAGGTTTTTATTGTCACTTACATAAATAGAAAATCACATCCTTTTTAATTTATATAGCCGTTTTTACGTAAAGATTTGATGTGAGTGGTTTATGTGTACATATTTAATAACATTTGTTTATATTACAGAGCGCGTCGGACACTTCGACTGGAGCGGGCGGCGGCGCCTCCACCGGCAGCACCCGTGTCTCCTCGCGCAGTCGCACTAATGAGGAGCCTCATATCGGTCAGTATAACATAAAAACAGTACAGAGTACTAAAAAACCGACCTCAAAAGTCATTCATCCCCTAGGTTGCCACCTTTAGAGGTGGAATAGTTTCTTCAAATTTAAATGTGACCACATCTGAGGTACCCTCTTTCCAACAAAAATAGAATCATTAAAATCGGTTCACAAATTTTGTTGTTGAGTTATAGTGTAACATACATAGAAAAAAAAACATACAGTCGAATTGAGAACATCCTCCTTTTTTTGAAGTCGGTTAAAAATGTCATTTAACACGATACAATCAAGAATAGAAAGAAGTAGTGATGGGCTGAATTTAGATTTTGACGAATACCGAAGCGAATATTCAGCCGAATAAATAAATAAACGATTTATTGCATCTGTCGCTTTAATTCCTTCCATGTCTCATTTGATCTTAATAGACATGCAAAGAAGTTATCCATTTTGAAAAATCTTTCTACAATTCGTCGTAGGCTATAATATATTAACTAGGTAAATGTTTGAATATTTAGAATAAATAATGTTCGGCAGATTTTTATAAGGAATAGTCGGCCGAATACAAATACTGGGTACACCTGCCGAACATGCCAAATATCGAATATAAGACGTATATCCGGCTCACCTCTAGAAAGAAGTAGCAGATGTACATTTTACAGAGCACACAGAATTGAACACTAAATGCTTGCAATAGCATTATAAACGTTACGCTATGTTCATGAAGTTTGTGTTCAATTTTAGAACGCACTGAAACACCTATAGCGGTTATATCATATAGTCCTTTGTCTATATTCTTTACAAAAGGGACATACTAAAGCCGTATTTGAAAATTATGATGTGGAACTTTTTGTTTATCGCATGCTTTTGTCTATCTCTAAAAAAGTATCGAATTTAGTCGATAAGACAGCTTTAGCACCTTCCACCATGTTAAATGTATTTGTTGCGGTTTTATTATAGCAAGGGTACGAAATATGCGTTAGAATGTTATCTTTCCGGTTTTATTAGGTTATTTACATACTAAATAACGTACTAATTACATATATGACACTGCATAATACCTTCGGTGTTAAGTAACTTCAAATTGCTCTCGAATGCATTAACATGCCGAAGCGTAGGAGGTAAATTTTGGCGCCTGACGCTTTGTTAATGGCAAAACAGATACGCGTTATCTTTAGGTACACGTTGTAATTCCTTTCCAGATATGTTTTTTTAAATTTTAAACGATATTATATACATAAAAATACTTATATATTTGTATCGCAATAACAATGAAACAACATTTTTTTACCATTAAACGTGCCAACGTGGATTATTTTTCCAAATTCAATTATATTGGTAGACGTGACTGTCCTTTATTAAGGGATTACTTTTTTTTATAATATCAAGTGACGAACGACGGGACGAACAAGTCGTGTGCCTGGTGGCAAGCTACATGCCTGTCCATAACAGTTGCAGTGCCACGCAGAGCTTTAAATCGCAAAGATCTGCAGGTCACTGCCACTGCGCCCGTCACCTTGAGATATAAGTTAACAAGTTCCATGTGTCTGTAATTTCACCAGAACCCATACCCTTCTAAACCGGAACACAGTAATGGTCACAATCTGCTTGGCGGCAGAAATAGGTAACTAAATACTGAATATAAGTTTGTTCCTTAGCATGTTTGATAACTGATGCACCATCTTTCAATTTTGTCAAACTCACCACGCAGTGTATACAGTAGGCTTAGTACGACATACATTCCTCTATGCGAGAATGAAATAGAAACCATTTATTACATAACGCCACAACACAATAATACACAGTAAGAAATGTGAAAAAAAGGTAAAGCTAAATTAAAACAAAAATAAAGTAGAATAACAAAACAAAAAATAAATAAAATAATTCAAAATAAAATCTTAATAATAGTAATGAAATGACCACAAAGATAGTCAACACTATTGTGTACTAAGTAGAGGTCATGTGTGCGGCTGTGGCGTATGTAAAAGGATCCACTCAGTTAATGTCACCGAGAAAAGGTTGTGACGCTGATTTTCAGTCGACCCTAAACGCTAAATAGCAGTATCCCACGCTTTATATCGCGCAAGTCGTGTTAGCTCTACTGAACATTTAATTTAAAAAAAGAATAACTTAAATCCTATTTTGATTTCAATTAAATATAATGGTATATGTGGCCAGTGTTTCATATGAACGTCGTTGTGATTCAACCGTTTATTAGCGTTCTTCTGAATATGAGTATTTTACCCTTTTTCACTTTTAACTTTTCACGTAACTTTTATATCTCAATATTACAGGGAAGTATAAACTCCTGAAGACGATCGGCAAAGGCAACTTCGCGAAAGTGAAGCTCGCGAAGCATGTACCCACCGGCAAGGAGGTGGCCATCAAGATTATCGATAAAACCCAGCTCAACCCCGGATCGCTGCAGAAACTTTTCAGAGAGGTGAGATTTATTGCCATTAACGTGATTATATTTTCACCCGAAACTTTTTTTCGTTCCACTTGAAGAGGAAAGTTATCATCTCGATAACTCCAATGAACACTTAATTTTTGGAAAATGAAAAACAGTGAAATGAAAAACATTGTTTTTTTCACAATTTTTTTTTCAATTTTGTTTTTTTTTTGTTTTTTTATTTTTTCTCACAAAATTTGGGAAGAATAATATTAGTAAATAAATATGGCTGTTTATAAAAATAACAGAAAAATTACCAACAAATAAAGCTGCGTTCTTTGAAGGTATCAATTGTACGTGATATAGAAAGAAATATAATAACAATAATAATACATAATACTACCACGGCTTTTCATGTCATCACGGCTAGCATAGCATACAATAGCATCAGTGTTTGAATTTGATAAGGGGAAGAAAACTAATGTTCTTACACTATACTATAGTTATATAATTTCACATATGCATAATTTGTTTCGTGTAGGTCGCATAACTTTTATGACTTCCTTATCACATGGGGCACTGTAAAAATGTGAATCGGGCTTTTTTTCGTCCGTTCAATAAAACCACGTTTGGTTAGTTAACGTTCGCGTGCTATACGTCCGTTCGCACCGATATCTAGCGTCGTAATGACGGGAGAAGGCGGGCTGCAGCGTACTTTTATTTTCTTTACACCACTATGATTAGTTTTCATAATTAAGAGTAGAATTTATTAATAACAAGTATATATTTCTAGTATAGATAAGAAATAATCTCAGTACAGGGTATTAAAAAGGCGGTTGTCGGAATGTGCGCGAAACCGGATTCCACCCCTAGTTTGCCACCCTTAGAGATGGAATATTTTCTTTAAATTTAAATGAGACCAAAACTGATGTACTCTTTTTCCAACAACAAATAAACATCAAAATTGGTTCACAAAGTTATCGCGTAACATACATAAAAAAAAATAGCCGAATTGAGAAGCTCCTCGTATTTTTGAAGTAGGTTAAAAATAATCAGAGTGCCAAGTGGCTTTTAAACTGAAACTTTAATCTTTTTTTTTCACATTTTCAGGTCAGGATTATGAAGATGCTGGATCACCCAAACATCGTCAAGCTGTTCCAGGTCATAGAGACAGAAAAGACACTCTATCTCGTCATGGAATACGCGTCTGGGGGCGAGGTAGGTTCTAAATCTTAATATAACATTGAAAAAGTTAAACTAAAACTGTCGCACCCTCAATAATCATCATCAACCCATCTATACGTCCCACTGCAGGACACGGGTCTCCTCTAAGGCGCATAGCATATAATTGATACCGTATTATCACATGGTTTTATTATTACAATTTGTTTATATAATTTTTTTTCCAGGTGTTTGATTACCTAGTACTGCATGGTCGAATGAAGGAGAAGGAGGCTCGAGCCAAATTCAGGCAAATAGTTTCGGCTGTGCAGTATTGCCATCAGAAACGCATTATTCATAGAGATCTCAAGGTAATGTCAACCAGAATGTTCTGGAAAATAATTTATCAAATTTATCTATTATGAGGAATTCAGGAATTACAAAAAATACGGTCTTCGATTTTATATTTTATATTTTTCAAATATTATAAATTATGAATTCTTATATGTTTTCCAGACAAAAATTACCCCATTTTCAATTCTTTTTTCTTCTGAAAGTATACATATTTGTCACACCGGTGACAAATCTACTACTACTAGTGTCTACTCTTGCGTTTGTGTTAGTTCAAACTATAGGAATCTGGAAGAAAAAAATGCATGTCACAAAATTGGGGTTTATAAAACACTGTGAACGGGCTCAAAAAGTCAGTTCCTACAAATTTATCTAACTGCACAATGGTTAGATCTTTAAACTGTGTCACACCTCACCCAGGTCTTAGGCCACAAATTCGCAACAGTGCGTACATTGTGTCTTGTGTTGGATGTAGCTAACACAAGACACACGTTTGCACGCAACAATGTACGCGCAAACAGAATTTGCGGCCTCTGAGATATCTATTTCTTTGCACTGAGTTGCACAAACCTTACTTATTTCTATCGCCAAGCAGTAATGTGAGCTTTTAAACGGTAAGGGAGCTGGTGATACTACAGCCATACAGTAGCGTAGCGTGGGGGTTACAGAGGGGGCAATGGCCTGGGGCGGCACAGCATTGGACTGAAGGACTAATTGAGAATACGATATTATTCGATATTACAACACAAAGGTGGTGGACGGCAGACGACCGCTAACAAAAAATAAAATCACAATTGAGCCGAGTTTGCCCGAACGAACGCTACTTTTGTAATCGTGAAAAGAGAGGGGTAGGAAGTTTAATTTAATTAAAACTTCTTCATGAATAAAATCGATTGTTATAAAAAAATCTAATCGGAAACGCATTAGGAACGCATTCGAGTTGTCAAAAGTTAAATAAATGGTTGGACAGAGTATAGATGTAAAGGATTGGCATCTGTGAAAAGCAAAAAGAAATTTATTGTTATTATGGTAATTAAATCATGTATTAAAGGTGTTTAATTATTACAAATTTTCAGAATGATTTTTGTGAGATCGATGCAAGAGCATACGATCCGATCGATCGATTGAATGAAAGCAAAAACTCGTGCATCCCTAGTATATACTGACATTTCCCTACATATCTTTGCTATTTAATTCTTTTGAGCAATTTTCGCAGTCGCGATTATCAATATTGAAGATGTATTGTAAAGGCACTGAATGTTATTATTGTGATTTTTCAGGCGGAAAATCTTCTTCTGGACGGCGAGATGAATATAAAAATAGCAGATTTCGGTTTCTCCAACGAGTTCACGCCTGGTTCCAAGCTCGATACGTTTTGCGGCAGTCCGCCTTACGCCGCGCCAGAGCTCTTCCAAGGTAGTATATGAATAGAGTTTTTTCGAGGAACAGAGACAGAAAGTGGAGACTGTCTTACGACAATATTTTCTAGTCCTGGATGTTTTCGGGATTGGGGAAATCTCTTAAGTACATTAAAAATTGACTTTATTTGGGATAGGTAGGTAGACTATATTTGTCTTAAAATAAGATTTTTGCAATAAGATTCCAGAGAATATATTATTATATTATATATTAAGATTATTATTTCCTAAGTTTAAAACTTACATTTAAAGTGTTTTAATTGAAAAGTCATATTACAAAATTTAAGAGTATGTGTTAGATGAAGATGTATGGAAAGACAACATGAGTCTAGATTCCACACAATTATGATTCCAAGTGTATTCCATTAAGTTCATTTGAAAAGAGCATTTCCTAGAGTTTCTTGCTCGTTCTTGTCAGGGAGGTCAGTGTAGTGAACGAGCAGTAGCTTAAAAAATTACGTTTTCAAGTGTAAAAATTTTACCCATGGAATAAATGATTATTTCACTTTGACTTAACTTTGCGACGAGTTGTTGCAACACCAATTTTTCTTTTTTTTTTTTCAATCATTTTTTCTAAAAGTACATTTTACAACAGACTATCTCCCGCCAAACTGGAAACAGTTACTTAATACATTTATTTAGAGTTGTTAAGATATACAGTGTTTTTTTAAATGAGACTGTGGAAATCCGAAATCATAGAAGATACAAGGAAGCTGTTTTAGGAACCATTAAGTATTTTTTTTTGTGTAAACGATTTAGTCAATTTTTTGTGAGTTGTCCATAAAAATGAATGAAATTGATCAATTTTTTTTTAGTGCTTATCGACTCAGTTTCATGAAGGGATCATTTCATTGAATGGGACGAAAAAAATTGGAACAGTAGAAGTTGGTCAAATTTCATAAAATATTTTTTCATGCAAAATTAATAAAATTGAGTAATATTTTTAATGCTGATAAACCATCTTGTAATAAGGGTGATTTTCTTGTATTGGATGAAAAAATCGGGAGCAGAAATTGGTCAAATAATTCAAGGCTTAAGTACTTTACTCTAGTGCTGATATTGTGTCCATAAACCGTAATGATGATTGTTGTTGTTCCAGGCAAGAAATACGACGGCCCAGAAGTGGACGTGTGGTCACTGGGCGTCATCCTGTACACGTTGGTGTCAGGCTCGCTGCCGTTCGATGGCTCCACACTCAGGGAACTGCGTGAGCGTGTATTGCGCGGTAAATACAGGTGTGTGTCGACCTTTATTTCTCTCAAATTTGTTAATTGCCTTGGCCTCATTATCCAACAAATCTGAGTAAAAGTAGGTAGCAAGTATATGTTATATAGAAGTTCGTTCCTATTCTTAAGCGGTGTCAAGATGTCCTGAAATACGATTGATTGATGACACCCCGCTTTTCTTTGCTAGGTAATGAACCAAACTAAACCGATCAATAACAGTTTTACCTTACTTGTAGACGCAGCAGCACTACGTCCACTCTGAACGTTGTTTTTTTATATGAATTTTATCAATACTTTTAATTAAGTAATTAGCGTGTATGGGTGCAGTGCGTGCGCACCTTACTTGTAAGCGTACTTACAAGTACCTTTAGTATATAATCAATCATAAAGGTATTAGAAATACTACTTGGTGCGGTATTATTCTAAGGGTGAGGCCAGACGAGTGTAATTTTGTGAGTTGTGAGTCGCGTTTTTAGAGTCGCGTAGTTTACGTGGGGCTGAATTTCGGGACGCTAGACGAACGTATGTTCTAACTAAGTAAGTAAGTAAGTAACTACTTATAAGCGTTGTCACGGGGTGCTTGAGTCATATAGTGTAATGGAGCAAGAAACGTGTCCATTACGTGCATCCAATATGTGTGACCATTTCCCTCACTGCTTCCTCCACCCACGTCTACACGTCTCACGAAATTCAGTTGTAGTTACGCGCGCGAGTCGGCAGTCAACTCATTTTGCGTCGTCGTGTGGCCTAAACCGAAACCTAACCTAAACTTTTATACGAAACCTCAACTCAAATAACGCACACACTACTCACAAAATTACACTCGTCTGGCCTCACCCTTAAAGACAGAATTCCGAAATTGTGGTATAAAAGATGATGTAGTGATCAGGATGGTGAGGGGAATGCTCCGATGGTTTGATCTTGTAGAAAGAATTAATGTTGGTAGATTAACGGCACAAATTTATAGACCGAATGTGGATGGAGACGTGGCGAGAAATTAGACCTCGGCGTATATATCTCAATCAGAGTGGAGATATCCTTAAAAAAGGTCGGGTTAAAAGTACCAAGACTGCTCGTTTAGAGCACGTATGAAGAGACGGATGGGAGTGAAGGAGCCGAAGGAGGTTTATCAGGAACTTATAGTCTGTCTTTTTCGAAGATGAAGTAAAGTGACAGTTCTTTGCGCAAAAGTGTTGCCCGCTTGCAAGCAGCTAGTGATTGCAGTCGATAAATATTGTATCGACAATCGATTGAATGTTGGTTACGCTTATGATATAAATAGCCGAACTTGTTTAACTGCCTCCGTGGTCGAACGGTTACCTTGTTGGACTGCCACGCAGAAGTCCGAGGTTCGATTCCCGGACCGGGAGAAATATTTGTATGGCCTACATTTATTTCTCTCGTGAGTTTGGGTGTAATTTGTGATTGTCTATGTGTGCGTTCGTAGCACCCGCGACACAGGGTTTCCCTAGTGCAGGGCTATATTGAGTGTGCGTTATTATTTTATTTGAAGCATTATCGGCACATTATTCGTCCAACTGCTGGGCACGGGTTTATTTATATAAATCGTTAATTTTTTGAAAATTCATACATACATATACATACACTAAATTTAGCAGTATGTGTATGAACGATACAAATAGGAGACACATTTCAAAGCTTTTCGTTTTTAATTTAAGATACATAATCAAATGTGCTTGTCGTTATTAAAATGTGTATGACTAAAAATTGATTTCGATACTAATAGACCAACTATCAAAATAAGATAAACAATAAAATAATGCAATTAGTAATAATTAGAACGAGTCGTAACATTCATAATTCGGTCATTTTTGGCACAATTTTACCTACATTCACTTTCAATCCATCGATAAAATTATCGACTTTCTACAATTTTACGAAAACTGGCAACCCTGCAAATGTCACATACACCATGTTCAAATAAGATAAATTGTAGCAGGTGTAGGTCCATGGTCTCTGCCTACCCCGATGAGAGACAGGCTTGATGATACGTATGTATGTACTTGGTGTCGTTTCTAAGATGGCTTATAAAATTATCTATGATACAGAATACCGTTCTACATGTCGACGGACTGCGAGAATCTGCTAAAGAAATTCCTAGTACTGAACCCCGCGAAGCGTGCGTCGCTCGAAAGCATCATGCGGGACAAGTGGATGAACACAGGGTACGAGGAGGACGAGCTCAGACCGTACGTGGAGCCGCAGCAGGACTACAAGGACCACAAGCGGATAGGTGAGAATGATATAGATATTTGCGTTTGTTGTATTGGAGTGAATGGGACAACTGTAGTTCAAACAGTTCTCCGTAACGGAAAGCTTGATTTCCTGATCGTGGTTGGTTTGCCGTGTAATCCAAATATTGGAGATGTACCACATACAGGATGCAATAAAACTATCCGACCACATTTCTGCTGGTGATCTAACAACATAGTAATAATACAAGAATAAATTAAAACAACATTAGGGAATTTAAGCAATTTTTTTTATATATAATTTAAATTTGTGACCCAACGGTTAGCACTGCGAGATATGAGATGAGGAGGTCTCGTGTTCGATTCCGGGTAGAATCATTTAGGAAATAACTTTTCTTTCTTTTGATTTGTGTATTCTGGGTAGTGTCCCAGATTGAATACTCTGGTACAGTTATCTGACACATTATTATTATTATATCTATTTTAAGCTCACGCCTCTCCCAAGGCCAAAAAGATTAATTTTGAATTTTTAAATGGAGAGGCGGTATTCCCGCACACAAAGGTGCCGTATCGAACAGGACCGTCTTCTGCATTTGTGCTGGAAGCGACACGCCACAGAAATCCAACCGCCTCAAGCTGTTAGCAAGGCTGACTGGAATTAATTCTTTTGCGGACAAAACAATTGAGATTATTTCAGTGGAGGCCATATCCTACATGTTGGTGATCTCGTCATTATTTTAATATTATTGTCATGAACATCGTTATCAGCTGAAATATGTTACCGGCTTTTACGTTGCATCCTGTATTAAGAAGTTTCTGTTAAGAAAATAATCGGTCCCTTAAATTTCAATAAAGACTGTATATACTGAATTTAAATAGTTTTCTTTGGAAAACTTACAAGTGAGAAAATTTCAGGCTATATAATGATAATAGATTTACGCCCATTATCTTCCAAGGCGGATAAAGGTAAGCGTAGACTTGCCGTTGCGCAACGTAGACAACACACGCATCAGATTTCGGTTTGCGTATATAAAAACAATCGATGCCTTCATTTTGTGTAGGTGAAGTTCGAAGTGCTGACCAAGGAAACCCTAATAGTATTAGCCGATCCGTTGCGATGACGTCATTGGTATTACAGATTAAGCAAATCCGCTGCGTGTGAATGCGTGGCGGCAAGTGGACGTTTACCTTAAAAGAGGTGAACTATTTAAACAACCATATAGGATTTAGTTAATTAAGACCTTATGCGATGTGGCGTAAGGACTATATTAATAGCCAATATTGCCATTAGGTTATTTATAACACAAAAATCCTATCAACGACAATTTCTGTAGGTGAGATGTAAAGGACCTGACTACCCTGGACGAACACTTTCACAAGGAGCTCTTCTGCTACTCGTTTCGTTCCTATCGTTTTTGTTTTTTATTTAACATATTTTGTTTGACTTTAAGATTGATTTTAAATGCCTAATTCATCTTTAAAACTCTCTGTAAAAATACTATTTGTCACTTAAGGTTCTTTACCTCTCAATCACAGATCTATTTTTCTTACTTGCAATAACAATAATAATTAATAACTGCAAATTCGTCAACCATCACGCGTCCTAGAGACATACCTTAAAGATTTTGCTACTTTATGTTATATATTTAAAACGTCTTACAATAACAATGGAGGAGGTTCTATTTACAATAACAATGAAGTTGTTATTGTAAATAGAACCTCCTATATCCATACTACTGGGACTGCCACGGCACTGCAGTGCGTCCGGCATTTTTGCCGAAACGCAAACAGATAACTTTTATGCCAAAAGGTGTCTGAGCTAAAGCGACTGCGTGACAGTGGTATCCTGAAGATGTTTGACCACCGTTTTGACTGTACAATTTTAAAGTTTTGGGTAAAGACCACACTGGTCATTAAGTATTGATTTGTGCATTTGCCTCATTTTAATATTTTAATTTTTGTAGTTCAATATTTATATTTTCAAAATTCATTGCAATCATACTAACATAGTTTGAAAGTTTTCTTTTGTAACTAACACCAGTATCTTTTGGGCTATGGCCTGGTATAAATGGTTTATTTATTTGTTATTAAAAAAAATGGTGCATGAAACACGGGTAGACGTTAGAGATACCGTGTGTCTCTAGGACGCGTTTTGTATTTTAAAAAACTACCCGTTATATACCTATCGCACATGAAACCAGAAATACTGTCGTAACTCAAAAATGGTGGAATTGAGAGAACTCGATTTGATAATGAAAAAAAAAAGACTGAATGAGTGTTATTGCGAATAATGGGTTTATTTTTTATTTATTCATAATATTTGGTTATCCACTTATAAAATAGAATATAAATTTATTAGTTCCGCTTAGTAATTTTTTGAACTTTCAGGTCGTGTTTATTCCGTCAATTCTGAGTTACGATACTATTTGGTTTCATGTGTGTAATTTAGCGGTAACTCTACTAAATTGGCAACATTACACCGATTTTGGCAATCAATTGCACAAGGTCTTAGTGGAGTGGCAATGTCCATATAAAAACATCCTATTGGTTGATTACATGCATCTCTTTCCTTTTCCGCTTTTACAGATAATAGGCCTTATGGAAGAGCTGTAATTGTCACCACGTTAAAAATGTTGATTAATTAATTATACCATTTTAAATCGTATTTATTTTTGAAAAAATATGTATTTCTATTTTCATATTACATTTTTAAGGGACTGTTACAGGTAGGTTTCGTATCAATACCAAATTTTCTATTAGTAATATTTTTATTTATTAGTTTTTAATTAATAATATTTACTTTTTTTATTTTCACTCATTTAAATAATAATAAGTATTATTTGTTTCGTGTCTTACTGATTACATTTTTTAACTTATTCATTATTTGAATTGCTTAAAAAAAATTAAAATTGGCTTTTTAAAAATTTTATCATTTGAAAATGAATTTATTCAAAATAAAATGGATTATTTTTTATCTTCCATGCGCGCGTCATTCATCACAGCTCAAGTTGGTACGTGAACACGGGAATATACCTGTTACTTGCGTATTTGTTTTTTCGTGTATTAGATGAACAAAAAATTCTGTCTTGTTGGAAGTTTTTAAAGAAAAAATACTCATCACGCATCGTCTTCAACATCGTCTTCAACAAGTCGATAATCGCTCATTTTTTGAGTTTTCTTACTGGCTACCTGGCAAACATTATTATTCTGTCTAAAATTAGCGAAATCACTTGTGACGACTGGTCGGTGGGGTATTTATAGATATTTTTGAGTTGTGTCAATGTTGAAACCGGTGCGCGACTAAATAATTTTTTTTAACGTAAATTTAAAATTAGTGAAATGTTAACTGTTTATAATATTTTTTTCGTAAATAATTCCATTTAGTGATAATAAATAATTAGCTCATTATCTAAGTTTTAATAAATAAAAGGATTGAACTCGCGTAGTCTCGTACAGAGTTAAACTTTTTTTTATCTTCTAATTGTGTTTATTCCAGATTGCATGCTGGCTTGCGATAAGACAGAATTAGAATGTATTAGATATTGTTCCGTATGCGAAATTGTTTATCATTTAAAATTACGGGGTGTTGATTTAAAAATATTTGCTTAATTAAAACTACTCGCTTCAGACTGCAGTATATTAACGGATGACAAAAAAAAATCAATATCTGCAATAAAATTCCAATTTCTAATTTAGGTTCTCTTAAAGTTGCAATGAACAAAAAAAAAAGGTTTAAGAGTGGAGACATTCGAAAAGTTACATTTTTGGGACACTGACAAAATGAATTAAAAAAGAAAAACGTGCTAAATACTAAACTAAAATAACCTATGCAGAGCCTCAGACGGCTATGGGACACGGAGGGGAAATACTTTTAATATTGTATGTAGGATAATTTGGCTTCATTGAGTTATTATTATTTTTTTAATAAGATGCTTGCCTCACTTCCGAATCGAACCGACCAAAAGGCAAGACTTCATAGAGGCATCTCTAAGAAGCAAAATATCCTATCTACAATATTTGAAGTACTTTCTCTCCCTGTCCCATAGTCGTGAGACATCCTGTAAATCGTTCACCTGTAAATATATTTTTATTATACTTGGCACCAACCAGATGACATGTCTCGTATCTATCCTTGGAAATCTAGTTGGGTTGGCGCTGGTGCGCTTGAAGATGGTTAATGTAGCCAATCTTCGCTGCGAACCTTCGTTAACATGTGAGTACACCGCCAGCGTATTTAATGACGCAGGGTGGACGGGCCTTTATCTTGTCACGTTGAGCGACGAGTCCAGCTTTACGCTGTTCTACAAACTCGTCGACTTGTCTCTTCATAATGCCCCCTTCATACAGGGCGCAGTGCGATTGCGAAAAAAAAAAGTAATAATACTTGAAAATATATTTATTTTGTCACTTTCCCAAAAAATACTTTTAAAAAATCATAACTTTATTGAGAGAGCAATAATATTTCATTAGTAAAATATTTTATGAGAACACATTTGCTTGTTTTAAACTGTTTTTACCATAATACAGAGAAATAACAGACACATTTTTGCTAGAAAATATTCATTTCTAAATCTAGCCAAATAAACAGTTCTGTTAATTGTTTTAAATCTTTACCCTAAAAATATATATTTAATAGTTAATATTTTATTTTTTGTCGTATATGTGTCGCCTTTATGTATTACTATTTATATTTCATTATAATAACAAACGTAAAAAAATCCGTTATAATCGATGCATGCCTAAATGTTTTTCGTAAAAAAAGATTTTTGTTTTTTTTTATTGACTAAAGCATGTAATTGCGTAACTTAGATATAGTCATAGCGTAGGCTCTTGTAATTTATGTGGAATTTATTTAGATGATGTAGTCACGTTTGTTGGTCACGTGGAATCTTGGATGGTAGTAGAATAGCGATTGAAATTTATAGAGTTCGCTCTGTACGTGGAGGGATACAAGAAAGATCTTCGGCGTACATATTGCAAACAAATTTAGAATGTTCTCATAAAAGAACTGGGGCCCCCAAGTTTGCTAATTTTATATAAAAACCACTGGTCATTATAATTATAATTTAATTGAGACACCACTAACATTATATTATTATTATGATAATATTTGTTATTTTCATAAAATCTTGCAATGACAATTGAGTCTCAATAGAGTGTGAGTGAATGGTATGGCATTCATTCATTCGTCAGTCACTAAGGATCGATGTTGCCTTACTAAAACTATCATGGAAATTACTATGCATATCTTAATTTTTATCTCGTTTAATTAACAATTAATTTTCAAATTAAATATGTATAATATTGTTAGACTACGCAGTGAAAGTCAAGCCATTGAAGAGCAAAATGTCAAAAAATTGCAATGGCAGTAGCTCGATGGCTAGCTACTGACAAGCATATAATGTTCACTTTTAGCAGAATACCAAATGTACAAAGTTGGCAGGACTTCGACATCGACATACAACTGAGATGATTCAAAATTAGCAGAGTTGGGGTCCAGGTCAAAAGTGACAATTATTTTCAGGTTAGTTTTCTCTACCTAATTCCGATGGCAATTTTTATTATTTGGACAATGTAGAATATTAGTTGTTATTTAATAAACTTAAATAATAAAATTGCCACCGGAATTAAGTAAAGAAAAATTAACCTGAATATTACCCACATTTACAGAGTGGCCCGAAAGTGATGGTCTGAACGAAATGAGGAGGTAAGTATTTCCAATCTATTTGATTACTGTATTGGGGTCCGGAAATTAGTAATCAATTTCCGGACCCCAATATAGTAGTCAAATCGATTGGAAATACTCAACTCTACCTCCTTGTTTCATTTTGACCATCACTTTCTTGCCACCCTGTATAAACGGACATATAAAGTACGCAGAGATCGAAATAAGCAGAGTACATTTACTTAAACTTCTATTAATTTATATGGCGAACGGCTATGGAGTGAAATTCCCTGCCTGCAAACTTATTCCCTGAACGCCTATATGCTATAACTTTGGCCTTTTCAAGGCGAGAGTGTACATGCTCCATCGTCGATTTCATCGTCATTTTCCACGAGAGAGAGATGAAGATCAAATGCGCATTTATGTATTTGTAAAAAAAGTAATGACGACTTCGGTGGTCCGATAATACTTGAGACTTGAGACCAGATAATTAGTGTGGTTGTTTGGCACATTAATCGATGCACATAGACTAGACAATACTTCCTTCTGAAACGTCGCGGTGATTAAAAATAAAACGCAAAAAATAATTTCATAATTTTTTTTTTATTGAGGTTTTTGGGTTTTTGCTACACGTAGGAAATTAAAACTGAATCGAATAGGTTTGTTTGAAAAACAAATGTACTTGATTACCGATTAGGTTTGTTTGAAAAACGTATGTACTCGATTACAAAAAAATAGTTCCCTTACTTTTCTTCTAATACACTACCGTAGTAAAGTAATTGTTAGTTTCACATCAAAAATACAACAAAATAAAGGGTGTTCCAAAATTCACGCAAGAAGTAATTTTAATAGAAAATGTTTGTAATTATAATTAAAAATTGTATTTTTTTTATTGATCCAGGAAGTACATGGTATAGGGTTATGTGTGGTACAGGTCGGGTAAATGACCTCCACCGCTTTGCTGGCACATTTGCACATTACAATACAATAATTCCGGTTTTCCAGAGGGAAGTATTATTCACTCCCTGCATATTCTTCTCATCTTTAGATAAATGTTTATTTATTACATTTTTGGAAAAATCACAAACTAATTACTCTTATACATAAAGATTAATATTCAAAGAAGGATGGCGACATTCCGTGTATTTTGTGACCCAGTGTTTTTGACGACGTGCATTAAACAGAGCAGAAAACGACAACTTTTCAGTTTGTTCCCAAAAATGATAAAGAACTTTCCGAATATTCCCAAATCTGCCAAAATCTGCCACATTTAATATAATTTATCATGTTCTGCAGCAATTAATATGAATAAAAATTAAATCTGCCCAAATTGCAGAAATCTGCCACAAATGGTCACACTGTTCTCAGTTTCAATGTGACATAGACATTGGCAAGATGTCTCTTGTCAAAACGTTCCTTTGCAACTTTCAATATCTCACATTTAAATATTTACTAAATATTTTTGTCACATTGTGTTATATTTGGTTTATGTCATTACTGTTTAACTGATAATGGCTAGGCATAAACTAAAACGCAAAATTATACTAGCAAAGTCCATGGACAGCTCTTCGTCGTTATTGCTAAGCTTTCGCTATCCTTCTTTCACGAGTTACCTCATTTAGAACTCTGCTTAATACGATCTCTGATGTTAAAACTAAAGCAAGTGGTGGAAGCGAAACAGGAATGTCTGGAACGTAGCAGGTAGATGTCTACAGTCTCATAAAAAGTGCTTAGACACAGTACCACATTGACCTGTATGAGAGTGTCATGAAAAATGTAGTTCTATTATACATACATTTTAATCAGAAATGGATTTTGTGAAGTTCCCAATATTCAGAAGTATCGATTCTCATTTAATTTCACCCCTAATATACTCATTGACATATTTTAAAGCGACGCTAAAGAAAGGTTGAATTATGTCATATGACCCACTGGCATATACCAGAACGTTTAATTCGAAAAAAAGTATGACTATTGAAGTATTTTTTTTAATAAACCTAAATTTGAAAAAAGAATTACTTTTGAAGACATTCTTTTTTCAAACTAAACTTTCCAGTATATGTGGCCAGTGATTTGTATGAACATTATTATGATAATTCAGTCTTTTTCTTAGCGATCTTCTAAATGCATTTACGGGACATAGTGGATATACTATACTGATAATATATATCAAAGGCTAAAGGGGCATGAATGAAAAAGGTAAGCTGATGTAGAAGGTACCCAGCAAATGCTGCAATGCAGGATATTTTCCATTCACTACAAAGTTATAGAATAAGTTTCATAAGCAAACCCCTTTATCACTGATATTAGTAGAAACATTATACCAACATTATCAACCCTTTATACACTGTCCAATTTGAAAATCAACCTGATTTAAAAAACGAATTGACACTTTATTGAATATAATGTCGTTTTTACTACCATATTCATATGTCGCCCATTTGCCAGAACCGTTTGTGTTATCTCTAAAATATCGATTTTGTAGGACACCGATTTTTAACTTTTAATAAATCATAAAAACTGAATTCCTATGTTATTGGCCTCGTAACTTTGAATTATGTATAAATTAACTAATAACTTTTGCCGGAATATTATTTTTGTGATAATACTCAATGGAGTATGAGTACGCAACTGGCTGTGTAAACTCATACGTTTCGCGCTATGAGAAAAAGCAGTTTAAATTCAATTTTAAAGATCTGCAAAAGGCACATAGAGAAATTCATAAGATTTACTTTCTGTCTGTAGCTCAGTTGGTGAGAGCGGTAGCCACGTTTAGGCAGCAGACACTGGTTCGAATCCAGTCAGATCAAAGGATTTTTTCTTAGTATTTGTTCGATCTTTGTATCAACAATTGTAGCGAATTGTATCAATGGGGTTCGGGTGCTACTAAAGAGTGAGCAAGACCAAACGAAGTGTGCTTAAAAGCAGTAGAGCTCATTGTGAAAGAGTTCGTCCAATGAAGTACTGCCATGTTATCTATTTTTGCCACCAAGCAGTGATGCATGCTAACATTACTGTGAAATTACAGGCACATGGGGCTTGTCTCGGTGTGACGGACGCAGTGGCAATGCCCCTCAGATGTTTGCGATTTAAAAAAAACAGTTTATTTAAATAATGTACAGCTACGAACCAAATAACGATGATAATAACATAGAAAAAGGCGCCAAAAACAAGTACATTTAAATTTAGAATTTCAATTTAAAACTAAACTGCTAAAAGGACTATATAAAACAAAACGTCCAAAAACATATCTTGAGACTGCTGCGATTCGCTACAATAATGAAATGACTTATTTCTTTGTAATACATTGGCCGATTTTTTTTTAAATTTAAAATAAACGAACGCTTGTTCACAATTTGACCTAATATTAAGCGACGGTAGTTCATGAATGATTAAGCCATATCACGCGAACATCAGGCTGGTTTTTAAATTAGACAGTCTCCTGAAGGTGTAGGCCATTGTCTTATCATACTGTGCGAGTTGGTATATTAACGAATGCTATTATGTTTTACTGTGCAGAAGCCCTAGTGTGCCTCGGGTACAACCGACAGGAGATCGAGTACTCTCTCGCCGAAGCGAAGTACGACGACGTGTTCGCCACATATCTGCTACTTGGAAGGAAAAGCACAGATGTAAGTAATAATAAAAATGTGTACTAGAAAGCTATGTGTTATTTATTTATATTCAATATCATGATGATATTTTACTACCATGATGAATATCATGGTAGTAAAATATTTTAGTGCATATTTTTTCTAATCTCCTAAAACTCAGCAAACTACAATGAGAAAGGTGTTAAACGCTCCATGTATATTAAATGTACTTACATGCTAAAGATCCAAGCAACTAAGACCTCAGTTCTGTATGAACACCATCTTTTTCTGGATACCTATGGTCATATCCAATATGTAGCGGCAAATTTGAATAAATTTTTAAGTTCGTGACCATAGACTTTTTTTGTGGGTGTTTTGGCTTCTGTCCCGTTGAGGACAATTCTGTCAGTGTTCGGGTTGAAAGATACACGGTTTGTATCAAGATTGCCAGGAACGCACTCAACCGACGTTGATTGGTTGTATCATCCTATGGACTAAGACAAAACATGAGGTTATTTGGACATAGTTAAACAAAAAGGATCCAATGCACACCCAGTTACTTTCGAGATATGGCAGTTTTAAGTATAAAGTATTTCTCACTCTTGTTTTATTTCCAAAACTTATAATGTCATGTAACTCCAGAGATTTTTATTTATGTTTATATGTTGGATTTTTTCCAGAGGTTAGAGTTTAGGATCCATTTGGTACATATAACAAATTTTTTGACAATTTTGTGGATTTGATCCTTTTTGACTAAATACTTTGGATGAAAAACGGTCTGAGTCACTTCGCTTATTATGTACATTTTGACTTGCGCGGACGGGACTTTTTTATCTTTCTGTAACAGAACGCGTGAGCGATTGACTAATCAGAAGTCGAATCCCCCCCACCCCCTCTTGCCTCCGGTTCACTTTTTTTTACACTTTTTTAAAGTCACTTGTTTGGTGTTGCCATTGCGTCCCCGTTAAGCACGAACCGGCGTAACTTACAATTTTAACAAATCGATACTTGCAATGAACACTACGCCATCTCAGTCAACAAGCGGTTCATAATAATTTACTTTTACTAGGAATCGATGACGGGATCCCCTCATCCCAGCCACTAAGCTCTCTGCACTACTTGTCTTAACAAACGCATTTGCACTTTGGTACCGAGATACTGGCACCTAATTTTTTTATTTTATTAGCAATAAAAATGAAACTAAATAAGACATGAAAAAACCACTTGTACGGTGTTTTAGATCTCATCTCGCTGAATCTAGATATGTTAATAACTAAATTTTGCTAATAATGTCGATTACGTTACTTATGTTAAAGAGGGCAGCACTGAAGTTGCGTTATTATGCTACAAAGATGTTCATTATTTTTTCTCCTCAGAACGGGACTTCTGTAATTTTTTTCAAATAAAAGACATTTATGATAGTTATGAAATGTTAAATGACTAAAAAAAAGTTTTAAAAGAGACTAAATATGTTTAATGACCAACAATTAAAAAAAGAACTAGTTTTTTGTAATCTGGCTTCATATATTTTTCGCTTTCGCGCCTTTTTTTTTTAGTTAATGCCACACGTCTCCTGTTTTATCAAAGCGAGACATTGTGAAGTATTTTGAGGACAGCGGAACACGAAACTTGAAAGCGGGACTGTCCCACTCAAAGCGGGACGTATGGTTACGTTAAACAAAGACAAAGTGATTCTTTATCACTTCTATTCTTTTTTTATAAACACCACCAGAAAAGGTGATTGGCGCTAAGAAAAATCGTGCATTGACTAAATTCTTGAGGTCACATATAGAACCTTCTTGATTTTACAGCCGGAGTCAGACGGCAGCCGATCAGGGTCGTCGCTCTCCTTGCGCAACTCGACCGCACAGAATCAACAGCAGCCTGCCAACGCAAACGCGCACTCAGGTATACTAAACAACGTTATGTTCTTTCCAGTTGGTGTTATCCTTTTGACGTCATAATTAGCTTATTCAAAATGGACGTAGGGGATCGTGGGGGAATAGGAAACTACTAACGAAAATTGATAATAAAACTCGTAACTTATGCAATTTAAATTTTTATTAGTTATAAACTTCCCTTATCTAGGTGCTAGATAATCAGTAAACAAAATGAGTCTAAAATATAATATTTGCTTAAAAGGAAAAAAACTAAAACATGTCATTCGCTCCCATTACCCCATAGTTCGGGAAATGGGAGCCGGTAAGAATCCCGTATGTCAAATGGGAGCCATTATAAATAATTAATCTGAAAAAGTATATAAATTAAAGTAATGAAATATATAAGTTAAAAACTAATGAAAATGATAATTAAAACAAGAAAGTGTTAAAGGTTTGTGGAATATCCAGTAGATGCGGCAATGGTTTAAGGGCAGCCAAATAGCTCTCATTACCCGCGTAACATCAAATTGAAAAAAAAAAGAAGAAAAAAAAAATAAACCAGTTAAAACATTCTATTTTTATTGTAATTTGAAGCATCATGAAACACCTAAAATTTGATAGATAATGATGACATAACTAGTATAAATACAATGTAGTATCTATGCATTTTAATGCTTGTCTGGGATGATGAAATTTGGCAATTTTTATAAGCGGTGAGTGAAAAACACACAACCATCTCGTACGATTAAACGCGGGGTTCTGCGGGGCGTCCGCGGGAGACGAACTTAGTTGAACGTTAACAAAGACGTACGAGCATTGGGAAACTCCAGTTTAACACCGCTCCATTACCCGCGAGCTCCCAACACCCCACGTTCCTCTACTAGAGCTGAATTGAATCGATCAACTTGCGATTACTTGGGACAAAATAAGGGGTATAGTCCGTAAAAAGTTGTTGAAGGTACAACTCACTTATCACCACGCTACAGCCTAATAAACTTAATGCTAAAATGTTCTGAACAAAATCCGATTTAAAAAACATGCTTAGTTATAGATGGGGTGCTGTTGCGTGCTGACAAGTAGGGTTTAGCCTTTAATGTCGTAGTTTGTGTTGATAAGTAGGCATCCTTTCTGACTGTTGTTTCAATGTTTTATTTTTTTATTTGGGTAACATTGCAATTGGTCTATCAAAAGAAAGAGTTTTCTTTTACTATCACAAAATACAGCTATCTCACATTAGGCAATTTTGAAATGTATAAATTGACAAATCCAATTTCCTTAAATTAAGGACCTTCCCTTTTTTGAGGTCGATAAAAAATCCTATTTATATTTACTGTGCAGCTTTTATTTAAACGCAGTAAATGGACAATAATTTGCTGCTGATTTGATAAAATTTGTAGTAAATTATGAAGCGCAATAATGCTTAGTATAATCGTGCGCTTAGGGGTTAAAGCCTTTTAGCTTATTCTAACCGGGTATTCGATGTAGCCAAATAATAATACTTGTACACGAAACACTGTCTATCGTCGAGCCTTGTTAAAATAAAAACAACAGTCTCTATTATATGAAAATATTCTGTGGCAAATATGATAAGCTCGACGTGGCATTGTAGTACTTTAACGTATTGTGTTTTGAGTATTATTTTATTTGGCTCAAAAACCTTGTTTGTACACCATCGATCTGGGTTCATTTGTTATACGCTTCTTATTTTTATTGTCTATTTGTATGTGTGCTTGCATGCGTGCTGTGTCCATCATGTACAACTACAGCGTAGTTCAAACAAGAATAATTCTGTTAACGACACTGAAATTAAGCGGTTTTCGTAAATACCGGTATAATACTGTTACTCTTTATGAACACCGGTGTTCTTGCTTCAATTCTAAATGACATTTACTATTATGTACTGTGTCACTAATTCCATACAATTTCCCAATTGGATATAGGAACGTGACGATAATTTCGATTTGAAATAAAATGTATAATGTAGTGATGGGCACGCAACGCAATGGGTATCGGATACCGGAAACCGTCATGCTTATTTCTGCCGCGGTCGCAAAACAAACGTCAAATAAAACCCTCAAATAATGCGGCGTTCTCCGTCGTCGTTAATTTGTGTCCATGTATTAAGATTAGCATTTTGTTACGGCGAATCAGAATCGCGTGCGCGCTTTCGATAGGCGATTATTTCGATAGGCGATTATTTCGAACGTACGGGTTTTTTTCGAAAATAAACCCAAATTTTGAAATAATCACGAATGTCGTGAGTATGGCAATAAGCGTGTCGGTGACCGCGGCCTCGTTTACACTATCAATGTTTTCGCCCAGTATTGGATTTAATAATACTGATTTTCAACAATATTATATTTAGCAAGCACTGGTTTGCTAACCCTAAAATGACTGAATACTTCATAGTACTGTGATATATTGGCCAATATTATTTTGTGAGTAAGGCCGTTGTAACGTTGATCTTAGGCTACATTTATATGCGCCTAACTCACAATAATTTGCAGCTTATGTGTGTGAGTGTTACTTGAATATATAAATTATTCGTAAGCAAAATTTTACGTAAGTAAATAATAATAATAATAATAACGCACACACTCAACGTAGCTCCGCACTAGGGAAACCCTGTGTTGCGGGTGCCATGGACTCACACATAGACAACCACAAATTACACCCAAACTCACGAGACAAATAAATGTAGGCCATACGAATATTTCTCCCGGCCCGGGAATCGAACCCGGGGACCTCTGCGTGGCAGCCCGGTATGGTAACCGTTCGGCCACAGAGGCAGTTAAATAATTCGTATTCCTTATATAAATTTAAACCCGAGTGCCTCATGCCGTGGACGAGTACATTTTTAAGTACGATAATACGTTTGACCGACTCTGATGTAAATTCTAACTGTCTAGAGACCAGAATAAACCCATCGACATTAAAATGAGAGTATTGGCGAGAGTATTGATAAGTGTAAACGGGCGCTAACAGTGCGTGCGCGGGTAGGGGCGGGCGCGGGCGCGGGAGGCTCGCCGTCGCACCGCGGCGTGCAGCGCAGCATCTCCGCCACCGCGCGCCCTACTACCAGTCGCCGTGCCTCCTCCGGCGCAGAAGTCTTGCGCACGCAAGGTATGACACTACATCAGGAAACAATACAGCACTACCGTAGGCTCTACTACACGCAGGGTACAACACTACACCATACACTACTCTTTATAACACTGTAATAAACTTTTCCTTAGATTGTTTTTTCCACCACTACAAATACATGTGCAGTATACACCAGACTATTGTACTATACTACTTTGGAACTCCACAAGTACCTAAATAAAGGTCGTACGTTCCAGAATGTACTCATTAGAACAACCCGTTTCATTAATACCGGTGAATATCACCGGCTAAACCATAGAAAGGCCCGATAAATTTATCCTGCATAGTATAAAAGCGAATGTAAAACAAATTAACCAACCTGTAAACGTAATACCTCACTATATTGGTAGTTATCATGTTCATGGCACACTCACATTCATTATCGTAGTACTTACACAAAATGCAACGTTAAAAATACTAATTCTTAATCAAAACAACGATCTAAATTTAGATGTCGCATAAAAACATCGGTATTGTCGATACCATAAATGTTTTAATTTACCGGTATTTCCGTCTGTCTTCCCTTCGTAAATTCTACTTCAATTCATTGTTGTGTTAGTTACCCTTCTTTGTGGAAGTCGTTGTACTCTTCTGTAGATATATAGATTAGGTTAACATAGGTAAATCTTTTATGATTATCGTTTAATTTGTTCTACGATTTTTTGTCCAAGTAGTTAAATGGAAACCTTCAGTATTAGTCCCCCCCTTCATAAAGTGATCATTTTTTTGTTGTGAAATGTATGTTTTAAAAAGTGTTATGTTTGTAATTTGGTGAAAGTTCATAATAAAAAGTCCCATTTTAAGCGCTTTAAAGTGCAGAGAATTATTTCATATTAGTGATTTTTCGTAACACCATAAAATCTTATATTTCTATGCGGTAGTGTTATTTATTACCAAATTAATGTTTCATTTTTTCAATACAATTATTTGGGTGAAAATACGTAAATACCATTATTATCATTGGGCTAGTTTTTTGGCAATGCTTCATCATAAACTTTTGTGTTAATTTTATGGCTACCTCTATTAATATCTTGTTATTACGTTATTAGGGTGCGTTGTTATTTTTTTGTGCACGACGTTGACACGTTACTTTTGTGTGGTTTGCAGTTGGCACGACGACTAGTGCAGCAAATAATACCACACCCACTGCCACCACAACCACTTCCAATTTTAAAAGACAGGTAAATTTATTATGTTCATTTTATCAACACACATATCATAAACCCTCTATGATTTGTTCAAAACTGCAAATTACGACCAAAATAAAGATAAACTGTTTTGTTACAACAAATTTCTTATCTGTGAAAATGTTATTATTGCATAATATTAACATCAAATTCAATTTTATTATTACATTCAAATTTCGAACATCTCTGAAAAACAAAAAACATCGTTCGACCTCAATTCTAAGAAGTTTTTTTCGAACTGAAATGTCAATAGCAAACAATTTTGATAAATTTCATACGTTACTTGATATCGAACGATATGATATTTGGGGCCGACTCTAGTTTGTCTATTAATTAAAAAAAAATACTACAGTTGCGAGACGTGTGTGAGAATTTTTTTTATTAGCCGTCATTTAGTTTGTTGTTAATCACATCGTAGAGAGCTTATAATATGTGTTCTATACACAAAAAGCAGTGTATGTAACTGTCCATAATTAGGCATTAAAACACTCGTGTGATGTTTTTATAAACCCGCACTCGTATTTTAATGCCTTTCATTGTGTAACAGTCACATAAAGTATTATTACATCTTGCACACGTTTAAAATTTTGTAAAAGTAAAGGTAGTAAAGTTTCTATTATTGTTACAAAGGCCGAACAAACACAAAGAAATTTTCCCGTGATCCGATTGGTTCGAGTCCAGAATTTTTCTTTTTTTTTTCAATCTTTGCATCAATAATACTAACAAAGTAAGTACAAGTACTTTCACAAGAAATATATGCATATCATGATGGTAAAAACATCATAACATTTAATCAAAATAGAACAGGATAAAGTTTTCCTAAATAAGTGGTTTAAAGGCGGTGGCCCCGGCATGGCAACAGATACTAGTTCAGTTCCAGTCAATTTTTCTTTGTGTAAATAATAATAACAAAGTAGTGTAGTATTTTCACAAAAAAATCATGAACATCGTAGTTAATAAAACACTGATATTCAATAAATAAATCAACAATCCTTTAAGTTCTAGGGTTAAATTAGAAAATTCTTATTGAAAGTGTAAAGTTGGCTCCGTAGTCTCCATTCTAAATCAGTCATTTGGTTATCGGTTGAATGTGGTTTATGACTAAAACGTTCGACAATTCCATTAAAATGTTGCACGTCACGTAATCAACTGACATCATATTGTAACAAAACATTTCAGAACACCATCGACTCCGCGTCCATTAAAGAGAATACTGCGCGAATGCAACAGATGCAAGTAAGTTTAATTTTAATCATATTAATACTTTAGATAGATTACTAACCGGTATGAGGCTGTTTCTATCACCAATTGTATAATACCTGTTTTATTACATGCAATGAGGTCAGTCACGGATAGAGTTACCATTCCAAAATTTGAATAGTCTGGACAATGCCTGACTTATGTTAAAAAGTCCGGACTTTTTAGTAACAAAATAATTTCGAACATCACTCTCACACACGGCAGCTGAGATAAATCGAAAAAAATAAAGCGAAAATCTAATGATATACATATTATTATCCAGCACAGTAAGTGAAAATCCATAGAATTGCGTGGTGGATGTTTTGTTTTTATTCTGAAAATTGTAACCCAAAGCCAAACAATCCGAACAGAAGTTCAAAAAAGCTAGACGTGTCCAAACAAATCCGGAGGGATGGTAACCCTAGTCACAGAAAACTGGTCTCTATTATCATTCAGTCTAATTAACGTCGGGTAATGCTAAGAATGAGGTTGCGAATTTATGAATTTGTAGGTGCAAAGCACAACGCGGCCGAGCAGTGCGCAGCCGAAACTGGAGCCGCGGACCCGCACACTCGCGACAGGCGGTTCGCGCCGCTCCACCGCGCAATACGACACACCCGCTCAGCCCGCCAAGCTCTCCCCGCCACACGACACTCCCAGGTGAGTTACAACCTTATTCATCGCGTAAAAGTTAATCCGGAATGCTCTGTGAGAGCAACAGTTGCAAGTAGACGGACTGCATTTGAGCTGTTTTCTCTATTGGACACGCGTCGTATTACTTGAGAAGCTTTTCAATTTTGAATATTCTTAGAACACAAAATCTTCTAATTGATCATGCGAGAAATGGTTGATTTATCAAGGACCTGTGAGATGCTGAGATCTTACTAAATGTTTCTTCAATATTGTACTAATATACTACCTGATTTTATAAATTAGGCGTTATGGCGTATTATATTATATATTTTGTGGTTTGTTAATTTGTCTCTATATGTTTTATTACATCTATATATGTCAGTATTTATATATTTTTATAATGTTATGTATCAACGTATCTAGTAGTATACTTAATGTGAATACATAAAGCTATTGTATTACATAATGTATTAATAATTAAATTACTTTTTATAAGTACAACACTGCATGTATGGGATTTAACCCTGGTAATAGAGTTGTAGAGATTTAAAAGTAAAAACTAACAGCATGCAATTATTACACGCGACCCGGACAGCGCGGCGACAGAGAGTAAGAACGGATCCGGTACCGGTACAAACGGTACCGGCACTACGAGTGCTAATAGCAAGACGCACGTGAAAAGTGCGAGCGTTAGCTCTGCGAGCGGCGCGCCGCCTCTCGGGGCTGATTCGGCGCCTCACAACGCGTCAGCGCGAGACCTGGCACAACCCCGGCCCAGGTACACACAAGGCCTGACAAGGCAAACTAAAGCTCACAGCTTCAGTCTTGCAACAATACCGGTTAACTAAACCAGTATGACTAGTTCCTTTTCCTAATGCTTAAGGGTTTTTTTAACGCAAACGAACAAGAGGCATGCTTTGTTACTGCTGGAGTAACGATTTTAATATAATACCGGTATTATATCGATATTTTCTGGGTTTTATTTTTAGCTTCTTAGGAGAAATAATATGTGTGGTCTAAGCGGATAATGCACGCTTTTGTCATTAGATTTTTTTTTGAAAAATTTTGAGTTTCCTTTTCTGCTTAGCAAAGGTATTGTATAGTAGTATAAAATAAGAGCACGCTTATTTTTGTATACAATATATAGACAACAACTGCTTACATTTATAATATTGTCATTCTGCGGAGCACACTGCTTAAACACTCCTGGACACATAATTCAAGTCACCTTGCATTTTTATTTTTAAGGGTCTAGAATACAAAAATATTGTTATCGTCGTAGAACATTTTCACCGGTTTTACAACGGGACATAATAATATGGAAATGACGTTTCGTATACCAATTGCAGAATAGTTGTTTTTGCATAATAATTTTTGATCAATCAAACATTTTTTAATCTTAGGCCATTTAATACTGAAATGCAGAAAATTTAAAGGTGGAGCAAATTTTGAAATTGGACTTTTAAGTCCTATGTTTAATCTCGTCTATAAGGCGCGTAATTTAACGTCAAATGTGTTTAATTTGGGTGATACAAAACTTATTTTAGATTTAAAATTGCCTAGAATCTAACCTACAATCGACTTATACACACACACCTACACGTTTAGTGGAACAAAAATAAAGCGAAACTATAAAATAGTAACGTTTTATTTACTCATAAAGAAGCAATTAAATTAACATCTTTTAACACCAAATATTTTATTACGAACTAAAAGTTGTATCATTTAACAATGATGAAATCTTAGTTTAATTAAAAAAAACTTTTTCAACTGTACGATAAATGTCGTAAGTTATAGTTGAAAAAGTTTTTTTTTTCAAGAACAAGAGCGCTAAATCAATCTCGAATCACTTTACAAACTAGTGTTAGTAGGAAATTAAAATAAATTGATAAAATACAAGTCAATGGACTCATTTTTGTTTTTCAAATTGAACCTAAAATAAAAAAGTATAATCGGCCTAACTTTTGAAAAAAATTAAAACCGCATTATATTGGCGACTTTACCAGTGTGCCGCCGAATTGATACCTCCAATGAACGGTTACCTATCACTCCTAAATGGCATTTTCCAGAAATAACGTTTCCTCGAATTTTCATAACCTCGAAAGTAATTTTGAGAGGAAAATGTTTTTTTCTTTTAAACCTAACTTAACCTAACCGAATCTAATCGTGTCTCTGCGATAAACATCCAACATATCCTGAAATAATAACGGTTTTCGTTATAAATCGATTTTCGGTGTAATGAAAATTCGAACAAACGTTATTTCGGAACAAAACATTCGACTTTGTGATAGGTTACCCCAATGAACACTACGCCAACTTAATTTTTGGACCTGTTCTGTTTTTATTTTGTTTCTTTGTTTTATTAGTAAATAAATATGGCTGTTTACAAAAATAACAGATAGATATATCGATCGCTCAAATGACCAAAAAATAGAGTTGGCGTTGTGTTCATTGAAGGTTTCGAAATGTGCCGATGTGTGTATTTGTTAGGTATATTAATATTATTCTATTTTTAGTACTATTTAGCTTGTATATTGTTAAACATCTTATCAATGTTTTTTTATGAAGTAAATTTCTATAAAGCAATAACTCTTTTTATATTATACTCTTTTTGTATTATAGTAATTTTATACCGGTATCGTTTTGTAGTATTGTCATTAATTTGATTTTTTTTGAAGTTTTTCTAGCGCTTCAGTGTGGTGTTTATTTATGATTTTTGTGTTATATGGGTTTTTATTAGGGTTTTATAGTTAACAAGTATATGTACTTAGTCAGTTTTAATACAAAAATTGAAGATATTTGTGTATAACTTGTGTACTTTTAAAGTTTTGTTTAGGCTTGATTATCCCTCAATCTATCGATTTTTTTCCGTGTCAAGCTGTGGGGCATACAAGGGTTGACAATCATAATATTTGATTTTAATATTTGGTATCTAAACTTAAGGTGTTTTTTGTGTAAAAAGATAATGACGTTTAAGGATTTTTTAAAATAATTAAATATAATATGCTTTCAATGCTTATGAATGTTTATGGACACTGTGTAAATATAATATGATCTTTGATATTACAGTGTAATCACGCAATTGCAGTTTATATTCCCATAAGCGCTTATTTATATATTTATGTTTCTTTCAAATATTTTTGGCAAAAAAGTTAGTGAACTTCAAAGTAAGCTTAAAAGTAAGTCTTTCAACGTACAATGTCAATTCTGTTATTTATTTATTTTTAGAAGATTTAGGGCAAATTTTTTATTAATAAATATGTTTAAAGTAAGAAGTAAAAGTGCTAATTTCAAATCTCCACAAGTAGCAAAAAAAATAAGTTAAAGTTGTAGTCAGCAGAAACTAAAACATTATTATTGAAATGTAAACAACATATTATTTTACACATTGAGAAATCACAGGTATCAATCATGATTATATTTAATATTGAAATACTCATGCGCTCTCAAAATTTATTCATTACCGGACGAACAAGTATGATATCTTTTTTCATTGATAGCTCAAGGATACCACTAAAAAACAATACAGCAACTTTCTATATAAACTACTGGATTTGACATCTCTCTCAAATTAACAGGTTTACTTTCTAGCTAGATGATAAGGTTTCAAAGGACCATATTTCACTGTAATAGTCAGTGTTAACTTAAAGTGTGTTCCATTAAACAGTTTTGCTTTCTTAATAAAAAGAAACTTCTAATTGCAAGTTATGTAGAGTAGTGGAAGACGCATATCGACCCTTCCTCCGTAAAGTATCGTATGTCGAAATTGCCAAGTTTGCAGCGGAGCGTTTTAAAGTTCTGAATTCACTGAATAATTGTCTATGTTATATTTTCAGTTTGAACTCCACCCTGACGACGGTCGGCGCGACAGGCGGCACCGGCACGTCTACGGCCGCGAGACGGGATTTCCCCAATCCACTCGTGTTCCCTCGGAATGTACCGTCGCGGTCTACCTTCCACTCAGGTCAGTAATCCCAGTCAGTTCATTGCTCGGCAGATGGCGGCATTGGCTACGGAAACGAGAAGCGTCCATCTCCATATCGTCGCCTTACTTTCTCAAACTCGTATCTTAAAGCACAAAGTTACTGAAATGCAAAAAATGGATTATATATGAAAATTTTGCAGGTATATTTCACTTCATATTCACACACTGGCTTTTACCTATTTTCAAAGTAATGCATCCAAATTAACACACTTGATTAAAAATATAAAATAAATATAAAGTTATGCCATCTCCTGAAAAATCTTTTTAAGATACGAGTTTGAGAGTGTAAGGCATATGATCGTCGTCATCGATATGTTCGTGTTGAATGTACTGCCGCCGAGTGCGATATGCTAAAAAACCGTTGGTTATTATTACTATTCTATTGTTTGGCCTTATTGCTGAGAAAATATTTCTTCCAGGTAACTTTTGTTTTTAAAAGTTGAAGTTTAACTATTTTTTCGGACTTAAACCAACGATTTAGGGCCTTTATAGGTCCCATGGTCACAATTGACTGACAACGAAGTTAATAAAAGATGATTGAAATGATGAAATTATATTATGACGATGATCAAATTTTCTTTATGCATGGCAATGGCATCCAAATATAAAGTAATTATGTGTTTTAGTATAATTTACATTAATATTGTAGGAAACAAATTGAATGTGGGTTACTCCACTTTTGCGCTGATGGCCTCTAATGTAAGTTTTATCATTATATTGAGCGTTAATGATTTGTGTTACAGGCCAGACGCGGACGCGCGGCGCGAGCGCAGGCGGCACGTACGGTGACGGCGGTTCGCCGCACCAGGCGCGCACTTCGTTCTTTTCCAAGCTTTCCTCGCGGTTCTCCAAACGGTAAGCATTATTTAGCCTGTTGTTGACACACATTCTTTGACACAACACGGTTATGGAGTTACAGTTGCGTTGATGTAGTAGTTTCGTGGATTTAACTTAATTCAGACTATTCAAGGCTAAAGTGAATAGATATTTTTATATATAAACGTCTACTATCGTTGCCTAAAATCAGGTGAGATTGTGGCGTGTCTATTTCACATAAAAAAAATCTGCAAAATATCCACCTATTTTAATCAATTTGGCTACGGGGGATCATTCTAATAGAATGAACAAAAAGTAACAGACACATTTCGACATCGACCGCGTAATTCAGACCACGCCCACGACGTTACAGGGTCGCGGGGGTTGACGTAATTTATAAATCAAAATTGCCCCATTCCTTTTCACGTCTGCGTCCCTACAGCGTTGCAGGCGTAGTTTGACGTATGTAGTCGACATATCGGTGCCTTACTTTGTCAAACTCTAATCTTATAAAGACTGATTATTCTTTATATTAATCTTACAAAACTTTCTATTCATTTATTAAATGTCTTATTAAGGCTATTAATTTGGACGCATTGCTTGAATGATGAAGTGAAGAAACTGTGATGTGAAATCGCCCTGCAAAATTTGTATATACAATCCATTGTTTGCGTTTCAGTAACTGTGTGCTTTAAGATATGAGTTTGAGAAAGTAAGGCGACGATATACCAACGATGTGTTTGTTCATTCGGATAATTAAAAAAAAAAAGAAGAATTATTTTACGTCAGGGTTGTAAAGACATAATTATTATACGCGTTTTAGTGCTTGCAAAAAGGAAAACAACATGCATACGGCACTCATTTACATTTTTTTTCCGTTTTTTATTTACTCATAACATTGTAAATTCTTATTTGTGTCTTGTGTGCAATTTTGTATGCGTTTAAATGCCTATAATTATTACGTCTTTTTAATGTTTTTATAACATGGCATAGGACAGCGTTACGTAAGTTCTGACTGTTGCATTAACGCATATAGGGTAGTCATAATTTTTTTGTAATATGGCTCACAATCGATACACATAACATAAATATTATCAATTTTCTTTTTCAACGCAAAATTCATTGTATAAAAAAGACTAATCCTCAGTATCTGACATTGTGACTAACTTGGGTCTATTATTTGTTTTAATTCAGTACTGTTTATATTTTTTTATTGTACTTTTCATACGCTACAATGCTTAACGCTATTTGAATGTAAATTCGTTGATCACGTTGAACTTAATGCTAGTGCGAATACATCTCAAATTTGTTTAATAGGAAACTCGCAAGTCACTAGCATATATTATTGAAGGCGTTTGTCATATTAAGCGTAGACTTTGACCTCTTATTATAACCATTGTAATTGGTTAAAATGGGTTATATTAAGTGCCACAAAAAAATTTCATAAATTTAGAAATTCGCATAATAAATCATATTCGGAAATTATGCGTATATGGTATTATGCGTAAAAATATCACTGGTGAACCTAGTGTACCGACTACTGTCTCTGCACACGCCCAATGCGTTTGTATATTTCATGTCGATGAAAATAACAACCAAATAATTTCTTGATTGGGGTTTTTTATTGTGGTTAGTAGTGTTACGACGGTATTAAGCTGACAGTAGACGTAGATGGAGAAAAAATAGAGGTCCACAGATATTTCGCTGGAGTTATTTCATTGTTAAATACCTCAATAGTCTTGTCAAGAACGGTGACACCATATTGCCAAAGTATACAGTTAATTAAGTACGCTGTCATTTTGGACTTGCATTTTGTTCAGTGTGATCGATATTGTTTGCTACGAATTACGCTCGTAGAATTACATTTTCTCATTTTTTAAAGTTTTCTGAAAGGCTTTTTATAGTAAAATATAGGTAATATATAAAAATTGTAAGGTTGTTTTTAGAAATCGAATTTGAAATTATCTTTTTTTGTTCCAACGTAATATATGACTTAATTAGTTTGATATTTCTTTTTAATGAATGTCATGCATAATGTTTTTACTATTATGATATTTATCTATGCCCTTTTGAAAATATTCCCCTAGTTTGTTATTATTATTAATGCGAAGAACAAATGTAAAAAAATCCTTGGATCTGACTGGATTCGAATCCGAGTCTATTGTCTCAACGTGGCTACTGCTCAGCTGCGGATCGAGCTTGCAGATCTTGGGAATTTCTCTATGCGCTTATTGCGGATATTTGTATTAAGTTTAAATGGCGTTTTTGCCGTAACGCCACCTTTGATTGTGTGAAGAAACTTTCATAAGCTTATGATATCAGCGTCGTATCACTCCATCTAAATACATTATGAACTTTTTTCTAGTTTTTATTTAATATTACACTACCCTTATATTCAATTATTTTTCGTGAAATTGCTCCACTAGTTTGTTATAATAGACTTATTCGTCTCATCATTTGGTGTTATAAAAAAAAAGTTAAAAGTCATTAAAAATCAAAAACAAAGGTCTGCAACAAGCACGTAGAAAAAATTCGTAAGGCCCGCTGGTTCGTTCCGTAGCTTAGTGGGCATAGCGTCTGGCACGATTTGCTAGAAGACGTCGGTTCGAATCAACTGTTCGATTTTTGTTATTAATAATTATAACATTATGAACTTTTTAATTTCTTCAACAACTAAGTAGATTTCGGTAGATAATGCTGTATAATACTAGATAAAGAGCCTTTCAGAAAACAAAATCCTTTGTATAAATTTTCATCGTAAAAAGATACCATCACTGGCCACGCAATGTTAGCGAAGCACAGCTTTCACGCACATTAAAAAAATTCCATATTCCCTACAACAAGCATCATACACAAGAAAAAAATACTGAAATCTACGGTTCCAAAGGAACATGTATTTTTGAATTTTTTTTTTAGAAAAAGGGTTGTGGAAAGACTCGTATGTTTTACTCTGTATTAATGAAGGTTTGAGCGTGTGTACTTTTTGATAATGTTTGATTCTATTTGTCTTTAACGCATGAATTTCTTCTTTATGACCATAGGAGTAAGAATTTCTTGTTGGGCCAATTGATAACGAGAGACCTTTTATATAGTGTGAACTATAACGCTTTTTAGTATTGGGAAGTTCCTATCAAAATATCCAAGTACCTTTTAAATTGCAAAAATAAAAATTTCCGAAAATCGTACTAAGTAAGGTATTTTCTAAAGCCTTCCAGAATATTCTACTTTCAGAAGGAAAGTAGGAAATCCATCACGTTTTAATACGGTTTTTTCTTTGAAGTAGCACTTATAAAATATAAATATTAGACAACATCGCACACGTTGCTCAGATCCCAAAGTAAGTAACTAAAGCGTTATGGAAAATCGAAAACAACGATGGCACCACAAACACGCAGACCCGAGACAATATTGAAAAATTAGTTTCTACGACATCATGAAAACCGGTGTGAAAGCCACCACGTACTTGGTAAAGCGTAATCGATTTTTATTTAAATATTTCTTTATGAAGAACTGCTTGTCAGTATTTGTCTAAGAATTTGATTTAAAACCCTTGTTAATTGGCACATTAGTGCCTTTAAAAATGACTTCTTCGAAGATAATTGGATTGAGGGGATTAGAAAAAGCTTCATGTCTACGCATTAAAAGCGAACAACCGACGCGAGATTTTTCTTTTTTTTTTTCTTGTGGGTGCAGTCACTCCGATATTTAATTTTGTAAACCGTCGGAAAGAGGTCACCTCAGTAGTGGTCCAATTCAAATTTGGAGAAAATATTCTACCTCTAAGAGTATAGTATATTGGGGAATGAATCCGTTCCTATTTCACTTTCTTTCTGTTAACCAATTTCAATAAAACTTTGCAATAGTTGCAATTCCACGACCTTTTGAGGTCGGTTTTGCTCATAATACATGGAGATAAAGCTTTTTCTGACTGAGCTTAATGTCATTGAAAATTAAAATATTGTAATAAAAACCCTGATAGAAATGATAAATAAATAAAGTCAGTCAAATGTAAAAAAAAACTAAAATAAAATTATAAAACGGGATCGAAAATTTGAAAATATGGATGACATTAAATTTAACGAATTATAATAAAATTAACTGATACTGACATAATAAAATCTAAAGTTATTAATAGCGCTACTTCGTCTATTTATTTAAAGGTGCCATTGGAAATCGAGACTCTGACATCTTGATTCTTAACATACTTGATTCTTAATATTTCCGCTTTCAAACATTATCAAAGAGGCTCACAAAACGTTCACTTGTACCTTGTTGTAAATAATGTTACATAGGAACACTGTCTGTCTCTAACTGATCACTGGAATAACCCATTCGTTCTGTCTCGCTCTGTCATTTCGATTGTGTGTATTTATTCGCTCAATTGTCTCCCTCGAAAAGATCCGAGCTCCGTTTTTTTTTATTTTTTTTTAATCTCGCGTCAACGCAGGGGATGCACGGTGCTAAAACCTACTTATCTCCCTTTGTAGACGTTCATTTTAACTTGACCCCTATCGTACCTCAATTTGGACGAAAGTATGAGTTAACTAGGGGTTTGGTTATGTTGGACTTTAATTAGACACGTCCGCACAAGTTTTTTTGATCGAATACGCGCTATTTTACCTCGTTTATCGCAATAGTGGCTCCGACCGTCCGTAGTAATAGACCAAAGCATGATACCCTCATATTTTTTCTAAAGACGTTTAAGAGTGAACTAAGCAACGCCATGCTTTGACTGTTGTAGAGCTTATTCGCGATTCAAAGCGATAGTGTTGCTCCCTATGACACTGTGCAATTGGTATTAATTTGTCCAATTTATAAGGTGATTTTAAAGGTTGACGAGCTGCTTTTAAACTCAAAAATAATCAGTGTTTTGACAGCAGAAGAAATAAGTTTCTTAAAATATCGTGATAGATATGGCGATGCGCCAAAATCTTGTCAACCTTTATTGTGTCTTCCAATTGTTACCGCCATTTTGCTAGTGCTGCCACCTAGCGTTTTGAGTCGCGTTTAGTGATGCCAGCTCATGTAAGTGTCGGTTT